TCGTCTCCGGTCTTCTTGACTCTGTCTTGACACCGGGCTCGGGCGAGGGAGGAGGAGAGAGTGTAGGTAGATGCTACGCAAGTCTACCGGCACTATAAACCCCTGCGTAAGTCACCGTCCCTGCTCCCATTGCTGCTGCAACCGTGGGGCACACGGTGGGCATAATCGAAACCGATGGTCAAACTGTCATGTTATTAGTCGAGCCAATAGCCCCGCGCTTAGCCGGCTCCGATCCGGCATATTCTGAAGAGCGCGAGGGGATGCCGATCACACGATCTGTCCAGACTGCAAGAGGGAGTGCAAGCTTTCTAGCGAATGATGTGATAACGCGCTCCTACGGTGGACTGAGGACAATACTGCAACAGCTCCTTATTAATGCGGCCTTTGTGGCACCCCCATTTAAGTGAGATTCGAGGCCTTCCAAAATGTAGCACTGCTGCACGCGAAGTCGGCCATTACCCGGACGTCTTGAATCTGCTTTGTCGTCAGGAGACGGTGCCCTTGAAAATTCAATTATATTTCATGGAAAACATGCATAAAAATATTCATTCTTTTACTTATTCGGTAGAAAATCACGTCTTCTTCCAATTTCATATTAAACGAAGAGTATAATTCGGCTTTAAAAAAAGTTCCTAATTTTGAGGTTTTTTAATACCGTTAAATGGCCGTTCATGAAACGCCATGTATCTGCATTTACGAATGTGGCTTGTAAAGTTAACAATATTGCTCAAATCCACTGCCTAATTTTATGAACCTCATATGGTCTCCTCTTAACACCGTAGAGAAATGCATGGTTTTCCGTACACAGAAAATACACAGCTTGTAGTTTTGAAACCCTGAATGCAAGTGTAACAGCAGGTCGGGTTCAAAATTATTCGGGAATTAGAAAAGTTTTTTGAAACCGAATTATGCTCTTCTTTTGAGTATGAAATTGGAAGCAGGCGTGATTTTCTACCGAATAAGTACAATAATGAATATTTTTATGCATCTTTTCGAAAATCAATGAGAAAATTGCATACTAATTAAGAAGTCATTTTTTGCAGAGTTTAGATCTCGCATGCAGCCGAAAATAAGTTTTTTTGAAAGCCGACACCCTGAGGTAACTGGATCATCATAGATTTATGCTGCATCATGATTAGTTTTACAACACTACTTAATTTATCTTTTCGAAACGAGAACGCATTTCGAAATTTTGGTTGACATTTCATGAGTTAGCACATCTACTATAGTTGGCATTGCCTTTCGCGCTGGTCACACCGCGTAATCACCACTGTGCTTTATGACCTCTCACAGTAGTTAAACACTTAGGCAAGAGGCGCGACATTTCGGCAGTTAATTATTTAGGAGTCCCCCGAAAGGTCTTGGTCGAAATGAGAAAACCATCTCTGCTCATTTCAACACCTTCTTGGTTCCCACACAAAACGTTTTGAGAGGGTGGGACCTGTCCAGACTTGTTAAAAATTGTGCGCCGCACTCTTCCACCTGTTTAAAACAACTGATTTTCCCTGGGCGAGGTCTGAAGGCGAGCACAACTCCCGCCCCTGACCGCTACAGCCGCACCACCACTTTGGGCATTGTCGTCAGGGCACCTATATTGTTCGTTATACGAAGGCAGAAAATCGAATTTATTTCTAGCGATGCAAGGAAAATGCTGCCATATAAATGACCCAAATATTCCATTCCGAAAGCGCAGGTGCTGCTTACGACCTTTCTCACTACTGTTCATAACATGTCTGGTCCCCACGCGTGAATTTCTTCCCATATTTTATCCTTCTGATAGTGGATGACCCAGGGTCCTCTGAATAGCCCCAGAGGTGAGCGTGAAGACAGATCGAAATTTTAATTTTGCGAAATTCTTTCTCTCTTCGAAAATCTGCCCTGCTAGTTGGGTCTTGGCTCGGGGCATCTTATGAACTCGAATTCCACAGTCTGGCCGTTGTCAATAATCCGTCGGTATTGATTCACGGACCAGTCGCGTGTTATATGGATACACGTGTACCTGCGTTTAAATGAGCCGCAACCGAGTCAGCGAAATTTCATGTTCGCGATTGAAACTTTCTGGGTGATCCTGATTGCCCTGCTGCACATGCACTCTGGGCCTCCTCTTCATCAAACGCGTTTGTAGTATGCTTTAGACGTACTGCTTGATAAAGTCAGTGGATATGCCGAGGTAACTTGAGCGGCTGATGATAACGTACATGCAGCCGTCATCCGGTCATACGCC